GTTATTAACCTTTATTTTGGGGGAACAATTAATTAAGAAATATTCAGTGTGCTGAAACTTGGAAATTTCTTTCTGTGACGTTTTCATTTACATTGGGCATTAAATTTTGAGTGAGAATTGAAAACACTTTGAAATGAACTAAAACTACTCTTGAAAACATGTAAGAGTAAAAGTAGTCTACGACTAATCCTGGCATAGAATACAACAGAATTGGTTTTATTTACTTTCTGCATCAAGGTACTTATCTTTTTTATTTCAAAGAAAGAAAGAAATAGTCAAAAGTAGCGTTTGTGGGAAGAGAAAAGCAACATGTTTTCTCCTGATTTAAACTGTGGTTGTTTACTTGATCTAACTTTTCCCTGGTAAAAGAGAAAGGACACAAATAGTCTTAATTGAGAAAAGTGGCTAACTTATATATATATACATTTTGGACAACTTCTTCTATTCCAATTGAAATAATGATGTATATTTAAATTTTTAAAACTTCGCACATGTTTGCAACATATAACATGTACAGTTCTTGTGCTGAGTTGGTGCATATACATAACCATCTTCATTTCTTTTTTCTTCTCCTTTCCCTCCCCTCCTTCCATCTCTTGATTCCCTTCCCATTGGAGAAACATTTATGTCCCTAATTCCTGTTATCTATTTTTACTTCTCTCTTTATTCATAATTTGGATTTCTTATATAAGAGAAACCATGCATTATTTACACTTTTGTGTCTGATTTACTTCACTTAACATTACAGTCTCAAAGTGCATCCATTCTCCTACAAATGACTGACACTGATCCTTCTTTATAGTAGAGTAGTGCTTCATTGTGTGTAAACACCACATTTCCTTTATTCTTTCATCTGTTGATGGACATACAGGCTGCTTCCAAGATTTAGCTATTATGAATTGGGCTACTATGAACATGGGTATGAAATACGGAATAGTTTCTCTAGTGTGAGAAACTGAAAGTGTAAATAAGGACTAAAAGGTGTAATAGATAATGTGAAATAGGAAGAAAAGGGGCAAAGGGGAAGGGGAAGTGGGAGGGGTAGGGGAAAGGAAAGAAGGAAATGGAATTAATACGAGAAAATGAAAAAATGGAGACAAAGTCTTTGTAAATAGGGAGGGATGGAGGGGTTGAAGGGAGGGCAGGGGGAGGGGGAAAAATAAGAACCAAGAGATTATGTAAAGGTGCAAATTTCCAGTGATGAATGTCATTATATTGTATACCTAAAATGTACCAATAAAATAAAAATTAAAAAAAGAAAGTATCACTGTAATATGTTTTTAATAATATCTATTAACTGATCAGCAATGTGGTTGTTTATACTCTTTTGGCAGTGGCGGGGCTGGAACCCAGGACCTTGGCATGCTAGGTATGTTCTCTACCACTGAGCTATACCTAGCCTCAAATGCCATTTTTTTCTTTCATTTAATTCAACAAATACTTTTTAAGGATTATACTCCAATAGATATGTTCAGGCATCAGTTATTGTGCCAGGCACTGCAATAGAGATGACCACATTATATGCAAATGCAACCTTTACTTAGGAACTACTGGTTCTTCTTGTACCTGAACATCCTTTTCAACTGTGTTCACAATTTCTAACTGTTTGGGTCTGGTGCTTTAAAACACTTATGTTTCCAGCAGTAGTTGTGAATAGCTCTGAGTGCTGGAGGAACAGGCTGCAAGCTTCCTGAGGCCTGGGGTCTTCCTGTGTCCATACTGCCCTTGACCTTCCCAGGAAGTGGGGGAGCTGGGTGAGGTGGTGATTTTTTTCAGGCCATATAGCCAAAGCAAAGCTTATTGCTTCACCGCTCAGTCCCAGGCTCGATTGCCCCACAGAACACCAGCTTATATAGTTCTATGTTCCTTCGTTCCTTCCTCATTTACTTGAGTATATTCTTATCTTGACTCCAAAAAGACAATAAAGGTGTTAAATTACTCACACACAATTCCTTAAAGAAATGGAGTCACGAACAAGGCTAGGAGAAACTCAAGTCAACCCTTTATCCTGGAACAGAACAGGGAGCCAAGAGGGAGGACAGGACTTCCTCAGATTGTGTGGGAAGAGATGGGCTGTGCCATAACCAGAGAATAGCACAAGGGAGCCTACAGCAGGCTTTCCCCTTGGAGATGGCGTGAGCCACAGTCCAGGGGTTCAAGTTGCAACAGAATAGAGAGGAGGCATTTCCTAGGGGGAATTTTCAGACCCGAAGAAATAAATGAAGAAAATATTTACTCTGCCTCAGGGCCAGCATTTCCCAAGTGCTGGACATGCACTAACTGACCAACTTGTCACACCAGAAGGAAGAGACAAGGTGACAGAGCAGGGAACCAGGGACTGCACTGCCTAAAACACTCGCCCATAACCACGCATGGCAGGTGGAGGAGATGGAATTGGAGCCAGGGCAGCCTGCACCAGTGTCACTGGACCTAGTCACAATCCTACATTCTTTGAGAAGGTAAAGCAAATAGTTGGTGTTTTATGCCCTCCTATTGCTTCACCATCTCTGGAGTTCAATTTCTACAGTTGGGAAAAATTACTCAAACCCCCAATTTGAATTTATGCCTTGTCATACTGTATTTGCTTAATGAACGCAAGCCTCTATATTTCCTTTCATGTGTGGGCTTATGAACGTCAGCATCACACTTATGTGTGGTTTTTATTTTTTTTAAATGCCTATCCTGCCATAATTAAAGATACCTACTTTGGGCAAAAATACTTTTCTCCTTCTTGTGACAATCCAGCATTAAATATACCAAAAGGAAAAACAATCCAACCCCTGGGCTGAGACAAGCAGCACTTTGTATTTTTAATGCTCCTGCAATTTAGTGAGCTTACCTTGCCCAGTTTCTAGGCCGATCTTCCTCCCATAGCTTTTCCTCTGTATCATTTTTGTGGCTGCTCCATTTCTGTTTAATATTTGCTTATTTTTGTTGAAATCCCCAGTGCAGAAACCCACAAACCGAACAAATACTCACAGAAAACTCACAGCGGCTCGAATGTCCTTGGAGACACTCAATTTTTTTTTTTTTTTCTGTTTCTTTTTTTTGCCACCATTTGTCATCCTCTGCTTGGAGAGATCAACAGTTTTTAGCACACAGATCAATAGTCTCTTAACCCAGACCTAATCTGAGGAAATCCTCCCTCCGTTTCACCTTGGCCTCCTCCTCTCTCCTGGACTTGCCCTTTTTCTTTCCCTCCAGCCATAATTTTGTCAGAGTAAGACAGCAATTTTTCATCCTTTGGTCAAAACTGGTGACAAAGGAGGGAATAATGGTTGCTGACATACAAAATGATAGATTTGACATGTGGCTTGCTGAGCTGGGAGTTTTCACGTGCCAAAGGAGAAGACAGATAAGCGGGCTGATGGCTCTCCTGACATCCTGGCCGGCCCACTACCCCCTCCTACCATCACAAGACAACCTGGACTTCTCTTTCCTTTTCTGCCTTTGCTCTTTTTCTTCTCTTCCTCTCCCTCTCCTTCTCCATCCCTCCTTCCCTTTCTTCCTCTCTCTCCTTTTTCTGGAAGTTTATCTCTCTGTGCAGGAAGCTAGTATATACTCTGCTCCTCTGTCCAAAATAAACATCTCTCCATCCTGCCCTGCTGAAATGATCAATCCCCACCCTTTCCCTAGCTCGGCAAGGGCAGTGCAGCCGACTGCTTGAGGAAATATTAACAAATATAGCCAGTGATTGGGAGACAGATGGGATGCAGAAACTGAACCAGCAGATTTCTGGACTATGTTCAATGAGAGGAGTTTTCGAATATGGAAACAGAACTGCTCTTTAATTTTTGTGAGCATCAGTACTCAAGAAACACCTTTCCCCTAACCTCCTGTCTCCCTGTTAAGGACCTGTGCAGAGGGGCACAAAAGGGTCCCATTGTTGGTCACCCTGGCACAAGCCAATGAAGGCAGACACAAGCTAGTGCCAGGCCGGAAAGCAGCTTTGGGGACAGACCTGTGACTTGTAAGCCACCGGCATCCCTCAGCCCTGGGATCCCCTTACATCTCTGCACACAAAAGCTCCTTTCACAGCCTGCACTCACCCACCAGTTCCAACTCCTGCCTGGGCTCCTCCATGCTCTCTGAAAGCCCTCACACTCAGTTATTTATGTTCTTTAGATTTACAAAGAAAAGGCCACCAGCACCTTGCCAGCCTCCTAGCAGCCAGGGCAAGAGAGCTGTCTACTCCCCTTCCGAAATCCACTTCCACTTTCCTCTACAAATGCTACTATTTGTATGGGAAGCTACAGCTCTTTCACCATCGTGCAACTGCAGGAAACATTTAAAAGTCACCCCACCACTGCCAGCCTCCATGGTAAAATAGACAACTATTTGATGGTGAATGGTACTTACAAAGCCTCAAAAAAACCTTTGACTTTTCTTTAAAAGACTGTATAGAAGTAATTTTTTAACCTCATTCCAAAAAGTAGTCTTGTTCTTCAAAACTGCTAACTTCCTGGAGTACAAAATATAATAGGAAAAAATGAGGGAGACTTGATCAAATGTGTGATTTTAATTGCCTAGTTCTCTCTCTCTCTCTGAAAAATATTTCTTTTCTACTAATACATGGTTCCACACATTCTATGGTATTTTTCACAGTTTCTACATGTTTGACATGGATGGGAAACCAAATTGGAGAACTTCAATATTTAGCTTTCAATAAAGAAAATTAATAGAGGAATTTATTTTTCCAATAAAAGAAGATAAAGTTTTGGAGGGATTACTCTTTAATAATTTTTAAGAACTCAAAGATTTACTACCCATAGTTACTGAGAGATAATAAAGTGACTTTTTAGAGTTATAAACATTTTGAAATGTGGATATTGTGAAGAGAAGAAGTACAAAGGAAGTTAAGTAGGAAAAACAAATAAACAAAAGAAACCTAGCAGAAATGAGTTTTCCCTTAAAAAAGTAGTTTGTACAAAAAAAGGTTCAACATAAGGTGTAAGTTTTATTCTTTTCATTATGAGCTAGATTTCTCACAAAATTGCCTGTAGTCTTTGTTTGTTTGTTTGTTTGTTTTCAATTAATGGTAAGGTCAGGATTTGGGGTACATTTCCATAGTGTAGCAGGCCCTTAGTGAAGACTGTAGGGTATCTTCTGGCATTTTCTTTTTAATAGCAATTTCAAGTACAGAATTGCTGAAATGTAGAATCATTTTTGAACACACACCCTGAGGCCACAGGACGATGAAGAACATTTGCAGGGAGTCGATAAAATAAAAATAAAACCACATTCCTGCTCCTCAGCAAGCAGTAAGAGGGGTCTTAGTGGCCTCGACTCTCACCTTGGCCTGTGTCCTACCCGGAAGCTGAGCTCCCTCTGCCTCAGGTGGCAGAAAAGGATCCCCTTCCTACCCAAGCATTTGTAGACACACTGTGAAAGGAAATGTTTCCCATATCATTTCCTCCCCTAAGAATTCCATAGTCTGGGCGATTCCAGTAAAAGTATCCGCTTTTGCTTCTTTCCTTCCCATCGGCTCACTCCTTGTAGAATGCAAAGAGTTAAGAGGATGTTTCTTGTTGTAGAATTAATCAGATTCATATTAGCGGTAGTAAATGTCATGTTGGCACCTTTTCCTTCTCACACATTGCAGTTTCAAGTCTTTGCTATGAGGGAATAATGAAGTCAAGATATGCAGTGCCATATACCAAGCATCTTTTTTGTCAGGCTGCATGAGAAATGAATTGTATTTGCTACCGAGGGGGTCAGGGGAGCAGTGAGTTAAGAAGACTGCTTAGAGAAATGACATGTCAAAGGAAACAAAAACTTATTTTTTAGTACCTTCTAGGTGGATTGCCTTCTGGGAAATAAAACATTTGCAAACACCCCTGTGTGAAAAGGCTCCGGCTACTACATTTCCTTACAACCCACTGAGTGGCTTTGAAGTTCTCACAGCTTAGTTACTGAGATCAATAAAATAAAAACCAGTTCTTGGGAGGCAGGCTTGAGTGCTCTCAGGAGGAAGGGACCCTGCCATCTGCCCTGTCCCGGGGGCCATGTCCTGGGGTTTTTGCCTGAGGGTGGAGTTCTGAGCACGGACCCAGAGCAAGGTTGTTCTTGTGCATCCGGCTCAGCCTGATGAGACTCTTGGGGCAAATACTGAGGAAGGTGCCAGAGCTGATCTTGGAGGTAAAGATGAAGGTCCTTCTGTCCTGTGATGTGTGCCTCATAGGCTGCCCACAGACTGACCCTGGACTGTAGGTTCTGGGTGTGTGAGTTTTAACATGCACTCTTGATTCTTTAATTTGCTCAGCAAATGTTTCTTCATCACGTCTTAGGGAGAAGAATTTGGAGAGCTAGGAACAGAACTGACCAGGGTCAGATGAATCAGGAGGGACCGTACTCTAAAGGTGATTTCACACAAAGTCACTCTCTGTAGACAGAGAAGAGAGCAGCTCATATCTTGGTAGAAGTAAGGAAATCGGTGCTCATGGATCCATAGTGAGTTATAAGGTTCTCTTCCTCAGCTCCCCCGTTGCAGCACTCTCCTTTGCCCACTTTCTTAATCTAGAAATCACAATATTTGACCACTTGGCAGAGTTTATTGCTACCATATTTTACCCAACCTTATTGATCTATGACCTACATATAACCAAATTTGCCCCTTTAGGTGTGGGGTTTGGTGTGTCTTGAAAACTATAGAAAATGCAGAACACTCTCATCTCAGGACAGGTGCATGAGCTTCCTTTGTGTTTTTCCCTTCTCCTCTCTGACCAATGGAAAACCATTCATTTTCTCTCCCTGACAGAAGTTTTTCCTTTTCTAGAATTTCCTGCAGACGGTACTGATGGCATGATAATGGCTGTGGTCCTTTCTACATGGGTCCTTTCATAAGTATAAGGCTTTGGAACTTCACCAGTGCCCCTGATTAGCAGCAAATCTTCCCATTTAATTGCTGAATACCATGCCATCATCCAGTGCATCTCAACCTCCAATAAATGGAATTTGGGTTATTGCCAGTGTTTGATAACTAGAAGCAAACTGCCATGGACTTTTCACACTAATCTTTATGTAGATGAACACTTTAATATTGGGAAAATATCTAGGATTAACACTGCTGAGCCATATACTATGCATACGTGTGACTTTTTAAGGAATTGCTGTTTTCTTTTATGAAATGGGAGACAAAGGTATGAGTAACATGTTAAAATAATGTGAAATAATTTGTGATCTTTATAGAATACGTAGTCAGCTCAAGTTCAAGTTTTGAGATCACCCACTACACCTAAGTAACGTTCCAGGTACCAGGTCCTCCATGATGTGGGATCACTGATGCTGAGAAGTAGCTTTAACATATGGCGGGCAGGTGGTGACACTTACTATAATAGAGACATCCACAAACTCACAAGTGCTTTTAAGAGAAGAAAGTCTGGATTAACTTCAATAAACTCTTATTTGCAAATAAACAAAAGCTGTCTTCTGCATAGTCAGTCCTGTTCAATCCCCTTTGGCTGGACAGTTAAATCCTCTCCTTTATTCCCCCAATATTTAATATTAATTTTGATTTTTAATTGACAATAAAACTGTATATTACTATGTACAACATGATTTTGTGAAGTTCATATACACAATGAATGAGTAAATCTAGCTGATTAACCAACCTCTCACATCACATACTTATCCTTTTCATATGAGAACTCTTAACATTCATTCTTTTGTATTTTCTGAGAATACAATGTGTCCTTATTCACTCTCGTCCTCCTGCTGCATGGTGTAGATCTTGAATTCATTCCTCCTTTCTAATGGGAAGAGAGGATGATAATCCAAAGATACAATGGCAATTAAGCCCTTCAAGCTTTTCCCCATGAGTTGTTATGAGTTCACATGGGGAATGGATGTGAAAACATCAAATGCTACCAAAGCACAAATTACTACATTGTGCCCCTCACCAGCGTTGCAACGACTCCTAAACACTAGGCATAGTGGACTAGAATGAAAGGGATCCCTGTAGAGAGGGGCTTCTTTTGTTTACTGTGCACAGATCACTTGGGGACTGTATCAAAATCAGATCCTGAATCAGAAAGTCTGGAGTGCTGCCTAGGAACTGGCATTTCTAACAAGCACCCAGGTGAAGATTCCCCTTCTGGTAGCAAAGCTAGATAGTCTCTTGGGCAGGGAGCATGCTCTGCTTAAGCCTTGCCAGCAGGTCTGGGGCTCTTCATTTTTGTTCCATTTGCTGTGGATTCTCCTTAATAAACCACTGTGTCCCCAAGGAACCCAGTGTCCCACTTTGTTGGGCCCTGCAACCCTGAACTCTGGATGCCTGATTCTTGTGTTGACCGGGGATTTAAAAATGTTCCCTAAAAGTTCTGCCCTAGAACAATATCATTAGATTCTCTGACACCTTATATGTTCTCATCCAATAGTCTTCTTTGATCAAATCTTACCTACAACAACACATCCTTTGTTTATTGTTTACAGAAATAACTGTAGTAACAGTGTTCATCATGTTTTGGGGCCACTGGTACAATTCTGATGATTCCCATTCATTGTTCATTTTAAACAAAGGCTAAGTGAGTTTTACTTCAAGAACAGACATCCACGTGAGTATTGGTGTTTTGAGTCATCCAAAGTCTTAGAACTTTTATGGGATTTTGAAATTTACTAATACACCCCTAGAGAATAATTGATTTAAATCTTGACTCTGATTCCTGAAGGAGGAGTTCAGCTATTATCCCCAGTTTTCAACTAAAACAACTTCCAGCATTTAAATACATTTTAAAGAATTAAGACATACAGATGGCAATGATGAAATAAAACAATTCAACTAAATATCTTGCTTCCAGCCCCTTTCCTTTTTCAACTTCTTCATGCCTACATGGTATATAATTCAAGTAACCAGCCAAGAGAGTTTATATATTATTTATTCCTGAGAATAATCCTATGACATTCTGGATTTACTGATAAGGAAGCTGAAGTTGATAAGGTTAGAGATTATCTTGGATAGCATAGTCCAAAAATGATAGATTGAGTCAGACTTGTAAAGGGTTTTTAACCTTTCTATTTTTGAACCAACTGTAGGATCATACAGAAGTTGCACAAATAGTACAGTCACCCTCTACCCCTGAGCAAGCTCTACCCACCTTCACACCTTCCTTAATCAGGTTACACTGATCAAACCCTGAAAGGTACAACAATATTAACTGAAGACCTTATTCGCATGCCATTCATCTTTTCATTAATATGTTTTTTATTCAACATCCAAAGCAGGAGCCCACTCCGTGTTGTTCCTCGTTACCTTCAGACCTCGGTAGTTCCTTGATCTGACCTGGTCTTACAGATGTCCGCCCTTTGAAAGAGCACTTAGTCATTGGTTTGTAAGATGTCCCTCAACTTGGGCCCATCTAGTGTTTCCTTGGATGGTCCCACAGGGTCAGGGCCTCCTCCTGACACAGGAGCCACAAATACCACATGTCCCATGACTGCAGAGGGTGACTTTGTCCCCTGGGCTAAGGTAGTATCTGTTGAGATTCACCAACTTATTTTTCACTTTACTGCAAAAACTACATTGAGACAATGTAGACTTCAAATCCTGTTTGTTTCCCAAATATGAGACAATTTTGAAAAATTGATCATTTGCCAGAGAAAAAAGTAAATAAAATTAAACTGAGGAGAGTTACAACCGTCACAGTCTGAAAAAAAAACCCTAGTAGAAGAACCATCATCAATCCATGTTGAAATCTGTAGAAACATCACTGGTTACTTTAGGGCAAAATCAATCAACTTATAAATCTGTATTATTTAAAAAAGAATTGTGTATGCTGTATATGCAAGGTTAATTATAAAAATTGCCAAATTTAAAGGAAAATTAAATCCCTCTTGTTGAACAATGGGTACAATAGCTGAACTTGTGATCCAAAAGACAATTTCAAGGTTTCATATCCTTGAATGTTCATTAATTCATTTTTTAAAAGATTTATTTTTTTACACCATACTCCCAACACTACATTAATGATGAGTAAAACAGACAGGAACCCTATTATATTGATAATAATGAAAATAAATAAATTGATCTTTCACCTCAAGAAACTTTACAGTAAACCATTAAATAAATGCAGGGAAAAAAAAAGAAGAACAAGTAGATGAAGCATAGGACAGAGAAACAGCGAGTACAAGGTGTGCACTCTTGGAAATGCAGGCAGCCACATGTCAGGGTTCATCAGAAAAGTTGCCACAGCATTGTGACTTCAAAGCTCAGTAAAGAAAAGGCAAATGTTTCCTTAACTTAGGGAGAAACTTAACCTGGGATGCAAATAGGCGATTCATAAAGTGATATTTAAAATAGCCAATAACCATGTTAAATTTCATTACTAATTAAAATTAAAACAATGAGATTATATTCTCTCCCATCAAACTCATATTGAGCCAAGACCGGAAGCCCCTGTATGTGGAAAACTTGAGGGGAGAACTGGCCCACAAATATCGGTGGTGCTCTCAGTTCAATTACTTCTGATGGCAATTTTTCTCAGTGTTACATCAGATGCTTTAAAATATATTTTGCCCATTCTAAGAAATTCAACATTTGACCACAAGGATATAATCATTCCTGGATTTAGACACGATAATATTCATCACAGCATAATTGATAACAGTGGAAAAACAAGCAAGTTAATGACCCATTCATTAAGAAACTGAGTCATTAAACTGATACATTTGCAAAGTGGAATATTATGTATACAAAAAGAATAATATTATAGAACATACTAGTGAGAAGATATTCACAAAATATTTCAGGACATTAAAACTGTTTATTATATTTAGAATATTTTTAATACAGCCACATAGAGTAATGATTTCTATGCTAGAAATCTTAATGATGGATGACTTTAAGTCTAAGTATCCTTCTCACTTGTGTGTGTGTGTTTAAATCTGATTTTAAAGTGCTAATAAAGCTGTGTCAAGTTAGCTTCACTTCTAAACCTTGTCACTTGCTTTTTTATGTTTTTGTGGCTATGCCAGTAAACCTGAATTTTTCTCTTAATCTTATTTTTTTCTCTGAAAATAATAATGGTCCTTTTTAAAAAAAACACTTTTGAATTTTTAAAGCAGGCTTTGAAAAATATGATTTCTAATTTATTCCCACTTATTATACATTTGTACATATTTTTTTTTCCTGTAATTTGGTTTTCTCCATCCATCTTTGAAACTTTTCAGTCAATGATTACTTATCAAAATGGGGCCCGGTAGGTATTGATGAATTCCGAATTCTTAAAATCAAACTAACAAAGTAACTCTCCTTTGCTCACAAGAGATTATGGAATTTTATGGTTTACCAGTTCAGTGCTCACTGGCTCTGGATTTATATTTGTTTTTCTTTTGTGTTTTTTGTTTCTGCTTCTGATTGTAGTTATTTACATTAGTGTTTTTGAATTCTCCATTAACGATCACAGGGTCTCCCCTTCCATAGTTACAGGTCAGTGCTATGTGAAAGAAATGGCACCATTCCCATTTTAAAGATTTTGAAATCCTTGTTTTCTGTGAAAACCTGCATAATGGTCTCTCAGCACCTTCCTGTGCCCGTCCCTCTGTGCACCCAGACCTTGGGAAGCTTCCCAGCTCTGCTTCCAGTAGTTACCACCATGAACTCAGATCCCCTCCAGGCAAATTCAGAAAGTTGGACATGGCAGGATCCCTATAGAGAGGGAATGTGGATGCCTGTAGTGAATCCGTGTGTGATCAATACCCGGGAGTATGGACAGGTAACCTTCACAGCCCATCAGCCCAGGACAAAAAGAATTGGAAGAGGGAGCACACACATGGATGGTCTGAAATTCTAGACCCTCTTGGACTAAGTACATTTCCTTAGTTGGGTGATTCAGTTGTTTTCTAATGTTTAATAAGGGGGCTAGGCCAGGAAACAAAACCTTCATTAGGAAAAGTTGTTTTTGTCACTGTGCTTGGGGGGCGAGGGGTGTTCCAAATCCTATTGATTTGTGATGAATTTATTGTGTCTAAATCCAGGAATGATTATATCCTTGTGGCCAAATGTTGAATTTCTTAGAATGGACAAAATATATTTTAAAGCATCTGATGTAACACTGAGAAAAGTTGCCCTCAGAAGTATTGAAAGCCCATTGATTGGATAACTAATTCTTGAGTGTGTACTTGACACAAGTTCTTCTTAATCCAGATCCTGGCAAGGCTGTCTACATTAGTTCTCTAATGAACAAAGCAGAACTTAAATTCATTTTCTCTATAACTAAATGAAAATTCCCAAGAAATGAAATTTCAGGAGACTTTCATACCAATTGCACTCTAAAAGTATTTAATAAAAAATGAAATCAGATTCTTTTGAAGTTTTTGGAAATATATTCATTGTTTTACTCAGGCATGTGAGCCCCAGCTTTATGCTTAGCTTGTTGCTGTTTGCTAAGTACCCCATTGCTGCTTCCGGGCATCAGAGATGAGATAAAGTGACTGAGTCCCTGCATTGGAAAAGCATAATTTTATTATCCACCCTCCCTGCTTGCTTCTATTTCCCTTTTATCTGTTTCCCCATTTGATAAATAATGACATTTGATCCCTACTGTGCCATATCCCTTTCGTGACACCTAGAGAAACAATTCTGTTTGTGATTGCAATGCCATCATTCAGCCAAGGCTTCCCCAAGGCACTTGCAAATTTCTGGCAGAAATCTTGGACTTCAGAATCTGGCAGATCTGAGTTTAGATCTCAATACCACTTCTGCTGACTTAAGTCTCCCAACAAGTGTTTTGACCTTCATGTGCCTCAGTTTCCTATTTGCAAAGTAGTGCTGTGCTAGCATCTACAGATGATTGAGAGGATGAAAAGTTGGGCATGATTACTATCCCAGAGTAAGTGTTCAATTAATAACTCCTACTGATATCCTAAGTGGTAGGTACAGTACTAAGAACTGATGATGTTTAAAGAAATCTCCACGTGATTGTGTGACACCCATTTAAAACTTCCATATTTCAAGATTCAAGATACAAAGTTTCTGTCCTCTTTTATTTTGGCCACTGTGTTAGTCAGCTTTCCATTCCTGTAAGAAATGCCTGTGAGAGTTTATTTACAAAACAAAGATTTGTGAGCTCTGGGTTCAGGTAGTCTCTGTCCATGGAACCTTATTGTGTTGCTTTTAAGCCTGTGGTGAGGCTGTGCTCCTTGGTGGTGAGCCCAGGGTGCACCAAAGCCCCCCATTCTCAGTGGCTTCTCACCAACAGTTACCCAGGAACACCTTCCTAGTCCTCTCCTCCTAGAGGTCCCACCTCTGCTCAGATGTGCCAAGCTGGAGAACAAGCTAGTGACCCTGGGCCTTTGGGGAGCTGCCCGGACCTACTCTACCACTGTCTCTAATCTTATGGATATCATAGCTGGATTAAGTACTTGACAAGGTTTTAGCTACAAACAGAGAGTTGTTGTTGTCTTTTTTAATCAGCTCCATTCACACTGTTTTTAGTGGCCAATCAAACTGGCTTGCTGTAAGGAGATCCCTGAGCAAAAGTGAAGAAAGGAAATTTCAGTTTAGTATTTGACCTCATGGAGCTGATAGGTTCACTTAGTCTCATTTCTAAAATAAGTAGATAGAACCAGGTGGTTTTTATGGCTCCTTCAAACTGGGGCATTCAGAGGAGTCTGGGCTCTCTGTCAAGCTGAACTGTATGCATAGCCACCTGTGCACACCTTGTCTCAGTTTTGTGCCCTCAGCTGCATTTATCGCCTCATAGCATGATGCTGTTCAGTTTCTGTTTGTAATTGAATGGACTCCCCATGTGTAGGGAGGTGTTCCCACTGTAGCATACAGTGGGTGCCTGAACTTACCCTTTCATGGATCATGGATCTTGTTATTATTCATGGGACAGGAGACACCTTCTGCATAGCATCACCAGCCCTGCACTTCCTGTGATATCTTCTGCTCATGGACAAGCCCTCTTGATGGCCAGTCTTCAGATCTTGACTCACCACTGATGTTGGCTGAGCAGCAGGACTTAGTGGCATTCCTCAGAGCCATCTTTTCCAGAGAGATCTCTGCACCATGCTCCTTCCATGTGCTGTCTTCTGCTGTTAAGTAGAGAAAGCTTCCTTAGTCAGATAAATGGGACACACACCAGGATAATGAGCACTCCACAGCTTCCTAGAGCTGAGCTTCTCAGAGCCTTATTCTGTTCATGATTGTGAGGAAGTGGCCCAGTGCCTTTGCCTGGGAGCCTCACAAACTCTGTGCTGTAGCTTTTGACTCATGCAGCCTCCTACTTTCTCACACCCGGTACTCATTCTCCATTCATCTTTGTGTGAAATGCATAGCTCTGTCCTGAGCTCAGGAGTCATGGTTCCTGAGATCTTCACACAGGTCACATATCCTTCATTCCACTGTGCCACCTCTTGCAAGTGTGTAAGAGACATATAGTAGATACCAAGAAAAGTCCTGCCTTGGTCTAAATGTGCCCCAAAGGATTGAGTGTTAGGGGTTTGGTCCTTGGTGTGGCAGTGGTTTTGAAAGTGGTGGAACATTTTTTTAAAAGTTGGGCTACAGTAGGATGCAATTAGGTCATTAAATTGCTGGTCTTGGAAGGAATTGATGGAGTTCTCATGTGACCCTGGTTAGTCCTTGGAGATGATTGTTACAAAAGAGCAAGCCTGGTTCCTCCTCTGTCTCTCTGGCTTTCTGTCTTGCCATGTAAATTCTCCTTATCTGCAATCCTGCATGTTGCCATAGGCCACAGTAGGACTCAGCCAGGGGCCCTGGTGTGAGGGCTGGCACTATGCTTTTGGACTTCCTGCTTCCAAAACTGTGAGTTAAATGAACCTTTTTTCCTGTATACATCCCCCAGCTTCAGGTATTATAGCAATGGAAAAGTGACTAGTACAAATCCTTCCTAGTTGACCAGTGTTAGAAGAATTCAGATCTCACGCCTCAGAAGCAAGTGAAAGGGAGAGTTATTTTTCTCATAATTCTTCAAGCAATGTGTTGTACAGTATCTTACTAAACTAGAAGGTGGTGATGTTTTGGGGTTAAATTTTCAAAGACACATCAAGGGCCTCGGAATGGGATCCCCTTCCCCTCTGTTGAAAATTTTGGTCCAATTCAGGGGTAGCTCGGGTTAAGTAAGTATTGTGCTCCTGTGTATATAGGATGATAATGCAATCTCTTGTTTTCTCCTAATCCTGCATTTATGAAAACATAGAAAAGCATTAAAGGTCACTATTTTACTGAGAAAATTATCTTTATATTCTAGTGGAGCAAATTCAAACATAAACAAGATTACAGAAGTTTTAAATATTTATGGGAAGAAAGCTGGAGAAGTTGCACATCCTTTTGTTCCTTGAAAGAAGCTCTCTCCAGCCATCCCAGGTTAAAAGTGACATTACTTCCTGACCACCACGTTTGCTGACTCACTTCTGGCTCTTAGTGAGTATTCCACTGACATCTGTGAAGAACTCGGTATGGGCAAGTGCTGTGTGAAGCTCTGGACATAGAGAAAACCTAGAATTTGTCTTGCACCTCCAGGATCTCAGGATCTCAATGGGGCAACACACTGTAAACAGGTAAACTATAACTCAACAAAGTGGAGCATGTTCAATGTACAGAGAGGTAGCAGGCTACAAGCAAAAAGTGAAAAGCAGGCTACAAGTTCCCTGTGCCAGCTGCCATCATCCTTGGGCAGATCATTTAGAAAAAATACTTGTCCTGATCTGCCTTCCTCAGTCAGGTCCTTTGAGCCTTTGAGTCTACTGAACATCTGTATGCTTGCACAGGTTCTCAGGCTGAGGAAAATTGGAAAAATGCAAGATTTTCTCCTCTTCAAGCTTTCTGGAAGAACAGTGCTTGGCTTGAATCAGGGATAACATTAAACATATTGAACAACCACTGGGGCCAGTTGCCTGACCATGACGAATGGATGTCAGCCACTGGGCTGGAGCAGAGCCCCAGGAAGGAAGCCACACTGCATTCTGGGAGCTCTGGGGTAGGGCCAGAGCTGAGGTTCTGGAGGCTTTGGGGCCCCAGGGAGGAGGCTGTTCCAAACTCCAGTGTCAGGGTTTGGCTATTGTATGGCTGCACTGGTGTGGGCCAGCTGAGAATCAGACATGTCTTTGTGGTGAATAAATAATTTGACATCTTTATTCAATTAGAGAATACAGAGCTAGCTATTGTGATTTCAGTAATGGGCACTTCAGGGGAATCAGGGAAGGAAGAGGATGTCATAAAAGGGTGCTAGGGGAAGCACTTCAGAGCAGGTACCCCTTTTTTCTCCTCTCTGTTCTTCACCTAAACATAAGCAACACCGTGGAGGTAGGTGTTGTTAGCTGAACCTCTATGCAATCAACATGGTTCACTCTTGTTTCAGACCTGGGTTCAATGATGTTGCCTGATTGTCCAAGGCTCAGAATGTCTTGCATTTACTCTTGAATTCTTTTCTCAGCTGCTTTTACATTGATATGAGACCAAACATTTATTTTGTCTTTCATTGAACCCAAGTTGAGAACTCAGAAGATGACTTTAAGTATTTCTTCTGGAAGGAGTAGATAGATGTATCCCTGTGCATGCAGATCTCTGATTTTTTGTCATTGTCTAGATGTTCTATGAACAAAATGTACAATATCTCTCCGAAACACAAAAAGGTAAGGATTAAAGGAACACACAAAAAATATTAGCTACTGTAATAGTTTGCAAAAAGTAAAAAGTTTTCAACTAGAAAATAAGATCATAAAAAATCTTTGGTTTTTTTTTTTTTTGTTTGAATGCAAGACAAGCAATGACTCTTTAATGCAGTTTAGGTGAACGCATCAAGTATAATACACTGTGCAGTCTCCACAGACTTATCCAACTAAGGATGCCATAAAAATCACTTTTAGCAACTGATAAAACTTTTCCTGCATAAATTATGAGAGTTTTGAAATGTATTTGTTTTCTTTTGATGGCATTAGATTTGACTTTCTCTGTGATCATTTATAGTAAAGAAATAAGCTTCAGAAAGCAGGTGTTAGTAATTACTCCAACTAGTGGGAATTTGTTTAATGCCCATTTTGAAGATGCAGTGGTTTTATTTCATCTCATTCCTTATTTTCCTGCATCATCACTAGAGTCACTTAACACAAATTAACCAATCTTCCGTGAAAGGGATTTCTGTAAATCCTAGAAGGTAGCTGTTCATGAATGCCCCTGCAAGTCGGGGGTGTGAGGGATATAAGTGACATTTTACTAGGCTTGGGAGGTGTGGTTTTGTTTCCAATCAAGTTTGTAATCTGTCTTCCAGGATCAGTGAAAAAAAGAATAAAAATGTCTTTCCTTTTTGATTTGAAGAAGCTGTAATTTTTTTTCTACTGTCTTGGTGTAGACTTTTAATCTGTAATGGGATCTTGCCTCCAGCAAATCATGTCTATAGGATGTTTTCCAAACTGAACAATTCTAGGGGGATTCTAAAATGTCTTTATCTAAATAACACTTAAAAACTGGGTTACTTGAGAAAATTCAGACATAAAAGCAATAAAAATTCTCAGCACATTTTAAGTAAAAAGCCCTCTGGAAAAAAAAAGCAGAAATTAAAGAAAAACTGCTCAACTAAATACTTTCTTACTAACTAGAAATATGTACACTGGGGAGAATGCGGACTGTTAACAATGCCAAATTAGCAGACACCATTAACAAAGCTGACCCATATGGCCGTATTTCAAAAGTGTTCCATACTTTTCCAATTAAAACAATAAAATATTTTTTAATCAAATAAAAATCAGAACTACAATTTCCATTATTTTATGATAAAGGAAAATCACAAAAACCTGTAAATCTCAGTATTCCTTTTTCCAGATGTACCAATTTAATTCGTAATTGCATGACACTGCCTGGTTTTAATGAATGTGTAACGTATGGATTAGTTCATTTTGCTGCTTTTACATGTCGGGTCCCCAAGAGTGGGAATAGATCTTTTTAAATACAAAACAACATTCTGGAGATTAAATATTTTTAGGGATAATCATTTCTATCACTCTATCGAGCTGCACTATATCTGTGCCTAAATTGTTTCTTGTCTATAATTTGGACAGTTCCGATAACTGACTACCACGATATTAGCCTTTGCCTCTGTAATTAACTATTTTAAGAATCATTTATTCAACTATATGTTTAGGTCCAGCCAAGCAGTACAAACTTTCTCCAAAGCAACATAATTAGAATAATTGCCACTTGAGGCCACTGTGAGTCATGCTGATTAATTTTACCAAAATTTAGAGTTTTATAATGGTCCTCCTACCAAAAACCAGACATGGGAATAGGACAAATTAAAGTTGAATCCAACTGCTCCCCTTAATGAAAACACAGAATAATTTTAATCATTTAGGTGAAACCAAGTATTGGTTTAGGCAGGGAGAGAGTTAGCTTCACGGATGTGTGCCCTGGTTGGGCAGGTCTCTTATTTTGTAGAATGAAGAACAGGGTTCTACTCACAAGGAACAATTTAGAAGAGTTTCTGCCTGCACGGATTTGAAAGAGAAGGAATGGGAAGATAGTAAAAAAGTGGGCTGTAGAGGTAGCTCAGTTTTGAAAGCACTTGCATAGCACATTAGAGGTTCCATCTCCAGCACCTCAAATTTGTTTCCAATTTCTGTTGTTAATTGTTAATTCTACTCAAGAAATGTGCACTCTGTCCAGCCAAATATTTTATACTTGTGCCAGTCAATATTAATTGTTAACTTGACTGGAATAAGAGACTCTGGGAGAGGTGATAGGGTAATGGGGGTGCTATTCTCTTCCATGGATTAATCTCCCAGTGTGCATAGTTGAATGTGTTGTTTGGAGGTGGGGCCCAGTTGGATCTAGTGGCCACTGGTTCCCGTCTTTTGGAGGGTGTATTTCTCACTAGTGCTCTGTGCTTGTGCTTTGTTTCCTGGCTGTCATGAAGTCAGCAGATTTGCTCCACCCTGCCCTTCTGCCATGATGTTTGTCCCTGCCTTAGAGCCAGCTGACCATGGACTGAAACCCCTCAATAGTGAATCAAATAAGTCATTTCCTTCTTTAAGTCATGGGTGTCAGGTATTTTGTTTCAGCAATTAGAAAACTGATCAATAGATGTGCAACAATGCTAAGTAGCCACAAAATGAGATCATTTAAACCTGTGTTTTTATGAATCTGTATTTTTCTTTTTATTTTGTAGAAAAAATTTCAGTCATATGAAATTAAATCCAGTTGTTTTACATTGAGTTAGACTTATTCATCCATAAATGGTATTTCACTGAAGACTAGTTAGTATCCACCAACAAGGGACGTTACTATATATTGTCCTAATGAGCAATTCTCCTGTGAAATTCCACTCATTATATCCTAATTTAGGGATTTTATTAAGAGAAAATTTAAACCACCCCAAAGAATTAGTAACTCTGATATGAATGCTCATTTTTTACAGAACCAGGCAGAGCAGCTCTGTGGGAAAGACCTGATATTCATCAGGTAATGTTTGAACACCGTGCTGTAGTGACTACCTGAGTGGGGCAGAGAGGAAAGCGGACACTCCAATGCTGTGGATTCTGAAAAAAAGGTTTTTTATTTCCAAATTCTGATGAAAGACTTTTGGAGTCTCTGATGTGTGGGTGTGCTAGTCAGTTTTCCATTACTGCATCAAATACCTGACATCAGTCAATTTCAAAGAGGAAATGTTTCTATAGCCTCATAGCTTGGGAGATTTTGGTCTGTGATCAACTGTCCCTGTTGCTTTTGGCTTGTGGCCAGACTGAACATGATGGCAGGGGTGTATGAAGACACAAGCTGCTCACTTCATGGAGAGAGGAAATGAAAGGGCCCAGGGTCTCACAATTCCCTTTGCAGTTGCCTCCAATGATCTAGAAGCACCATTCAGCCCCAAGTCTTAAGAAGTCATCATTGCCAGTAGCACCAACTTGGAGACAAAGCCTTGAATATATGAGCCCTTGAAAGACATTTGAGACCCAAAGCATCACAGCTGACATTCAGCTCTTTACCACATCTACCCCCAATTTGTGATTTTTTGTTTGACTGCTACATTTTATGGTAGCAGAACAAATGATTTCCCTGCATAGAATTTAACTGTTGTATCTCACCTCCATGCTTGTTTATGTTTCTTTCCCATGAGCCTTTGGGGTTCATGAAGACAGAAAATTTGTCTGCTTTGTTCACAAGGACTCTGGGTGATTAATTGAGTCTGTTTGCAGATTTGATGCTTGTATTAACAGTTTTCTGTCATTGGAACAAAATACCTGGCACTGGCAATTTAAAGGAGAAGTTTACCTGGCTCACATTTCTGGTGGGTTCAGTTTATGGTTGGCAGGCTCCAAGGCAAAAAACATCATGGTTGAAGGGCCTGGTGAAAGATAGCTGCTCACCTCGTAGTAGCTAGGAAGCGAAGAGAGAAAGGAGGAGACATGGACAAAAATACACCCTTCTGTATCACAACCCATTGACCTACCTCTCTCTGCCATGCTCCACTTCTTAACAGCACAGTCAGTTATGAACTCATCAATGGATTAGTCCACCAGTGAGTAGAGTGCCCCCGTGATCCAGTCATCTTCCACATGTCCCACCTGTGAACACATGCGACTTTTGAGAGTCATTGTAGATCTAAACCAGAAAAAATATTCAATAAATATGTTGTTAAACTCAAGAATATGAGGTCAACAATTATGTTGCTTTGAAGTTTACCAAACACTTCCTTATTATCTCACTTGTAATTTCCTTTGCGTGTGACAAAGTGTATCTTTTGTTCTGCCTTTGGTCAGTCTGATAACTCATTTATGAGTTATTTGTTATGCTACCAATGGGTAAGCATAACAAGTATATCCATCTATGGTTTATTAAGCCCATGAATGTAAATGTCAAATTTTATAATATAATAAAAATATCAGTGAAAAGTCATTTGGACTAGGTTACTTCTGCTACCAGAAAAATGCCTTCTCAGTCTTCTGGGTGAGAAAAATCAACATCTCACAATTTTTCCTCCCACCGAAGAGTATGTCCTGAGTAATATAATGTATCTTCACACTCTTGAGTCCGAAGGCCCATTAGTAAATGTTTACAGGAGCAGCTGTCCTGGTTCCCTTGAGGAAAACTAAGTGAAAAATTAATCTTTTTTCTCAATAACTGACTTTACTTCTATGGCTGTTTCAAACACTGAAATTATTCTTAAAATTAAGGAAAATAAGAATAAATCCAACCATTTATTTTGTATTGCATATATTATTTATGTACAACCCATCGATTAGGTTCATCTATACTCCACCATCTGATATTTTAATTGTGTTCCCCACACATGCTTATACATTAGTTGTTTACAGTTCAAAATATGTTTGCCCATGGAAATAAAACATTTTTTTTCATTAAGTTTATTGGTACATTTTAGGTATACAATACAGTTACATTCATCATTGGGAACTTGTACCTTTACATGATGTATCTTGGTTCTTATTTTTCCCCTATTCCCCTGCCCTCCCTTCAACCCCTCCATCCCTCCCTATTTACAATGACTTTGTTTCCATTTTTTCCTTTTCTCGTATTTTTTTCCTTTCCCTTCTTTCTTTTCCCCTACCCCTCCCACTTCCCCTACCCATTTAGACCTTTTCTTCCTATTTCACATTATCAATTTTACATTTGATCCTTATTTACATTTTTAGTTTCTCACACGAGAGAAACTATTCAGTATTTACACATGTATATCCTATTTATTTCACTTAAGAGTATGGCATCAATGTGCATCCATTTAGCTATAAATGTCTCTAGTTTCTCATTCTCTATGGCTAAATAGTACTCCATTTTATAAAAAAAAACCCCACATCTCCTTTATCTAGGCTCCAGTTTGTGGGCAATTGGGCTGTTTCCAAGCTTTAGCTATTACAAACTGTGCTGCTATAAACATGGGTGCACATATGTTGCTGCGGTATGATTCTTTTAATTCTTTTGGAAAAATACCCAGCAGAGCAATAGGTAAGTCAAATGGGACCTCTAATACTAGTTTTTTGAGATATCTCCATATTGATTTCCACAGTGGTTGCACCAGTCTACACTCCCACTAACAATGGAGAAGTGTTCCTTTTTTTCCACAACCCTGCCAGCATTTGTTATTGGTTGATTTCTTGATAGCAGCCATTCTTTTTGCAGTGATGTAGAATCTCAGTGTTATTTTCATCTGCACTTCTCAAATGACCAGTGATCTTGAACATTTTTTCATATGTTTATTTGCTACTTTTACTTTGTCTGAGAAATGTCTGTTCATTTCAGATGCCCATTTTTGAATTGGGTCTTTATATTTGGGGGAGGTCTGATCTTTTTAAGTTCTTATATGTTCTAGGTAGTAGTCCTTTGTCTGAGGAACATCTGATAAAAATTTTTTCCACATTGTGTGTTGTCTCTGCACTCTGCTGGTGGTTTCTCTTGCAGTGCCAAAGCTTTTTAATAAGATGTTATCTCAGTTGTTGATTCTTTGTGCTAGTTCCCTTGCTACTGAGGTTTTGTTCATAAAGTCTTTTCCTATGCCAATGTCTTCAAGAGTTCTACCTAACTTATCTTTCAGCAAGTTAGTGGTTTTGTTTTAATATTTAGATATTTAATCCACTTTGATTTTAGTTTAGTGCATGGTGAAAGATATGGGTGTAGTTTTAATATTTGGCAGAATGAAATCCAGTTTTTCCAATACCATTTAATAAAGAGGGTATCTTTCCTCCAGTGAGGATGGTTGGCTTCTCAATGATAACTTAGCTGAGTATTTCTGGAGTTGTTTCTGCATCTTCTAATCTATTCCACTGATCCTTTTTGCCAGTACCATGCTATTTTTATCACAGTGGCTTTGTAGTATAGTTTCAAGTTGGGGATTGTGATATCCCGTCATGTCTCTGTTGCCTAGAATTGCTTTTGTTATTCTAGGTCTCTTTTGATTCCAAAGGAATTTTTGGATTATATTCTCTAGTTCTGTGAAATATATTGTTGGAATTTCAATTGGGATTGCATTGAATCTATACAGCAATTTTGAAAAGCCTTTGATCTCTTTTTTCAGATTGCTGTAATTTTCAATGTAGAGCTCTTTTGTTTTCTTAGTTAGATTGATTCCTAGATATTTTATTTTTTTGGATGCTATTGTGGAAGAAATTGTTTCCCTAATTTCTCTCCCAGGGAGTCTGTTATTTGTGTACAAGAAGGCTATTGGTTTTTGAGTTTTGACCTGGTATCCAACTACTCTATTGAATCTGTCAATTAAGTCTAGAGGTCTTTTGGCAGAGTTTTTTGGGTCTTCTATGTAAAGTATCATATTGTCAGCAAATAATGACAGTTTAACTTCTTCCTTTCCTATCTTTATTCCTTTTATTTCTTTCTCTTTTCTAATTGCTGTGGCTAATGTTTCCAGAACTATATTGAACAGGAGTGGAGACAGTGGGCATCCTTATCTTGTTCTTGATTTTATTATGAAGGATTTCAGGTTTTGACTATTTTGTATGATGTTGGCTGTTGGTTTTTCATAGATAGCCTTCATCAGGTTGAGATAAAGACCATCTATTCCAATTTCCTCTAGGTTTTTTTTTTATTATGAATGGTTGTTGGATTTTGTCAAATGCTTTTTCTGCATCTATTGAGATGATCATAGGGTTTTTGTTCTTGGCTCTGTTAATATAGTGTATTGCATTTATTGATTTACATATGTTGAACCATCCTTGTATCCCTGGGATAAATCCGACTTGGTCAGGGTGTTTTCTTGATGACCCTCTCTTTTCTGTTTTCCAGTATCTTATTGAGGATTTTTGCATTAGGGAGATTGGCCTATAGTTCTCTTTTTTGGTTGGGTCTTTCTCTGCTTTTGGAATCAAAGTAACACTTGCTTCCAGAAATGAATTTGCAAGTATTGCTTCCCTTTCAATTTCATTGAAGAGTTTAAAGAGTAGTGGCAATATTTCTCTAAATGTCTTGTAGAATTCAGTATTGAAGCCATCAGGACCTGGGTTTTTCTTTGTTGGTAAATTTTTAATTATGTTTTCAATTTCACTGATGGTAATTGGAGTGTTTAGAATTTTTACATCTTCTTCGTGGAAACAAAATTGTTAAAGGTGATTTGTTTTTCAGGTGAGACTGCTGATGCTTATTTCAATCCTGTGCTTCTTAACATGGTGTGGAGTTGTGGAGATCAAGTTGGCCAAGGTCTCCAGATGGGCCTGGTCCTGGGTGGAGTTATGTAGTCATTATCACTGATCTCTTGCAACTTTTGGGGTGATTACTTTTATCTCTGTTTTATAGGTGAGCTGCTTTATGCTACAGACATGGAATCAGGTTAAGCCACAGGGACCAAGCAAGCAGCAGGTAGAGATAAAATCTGACTCAGTTCTGCTGGAGTCCAAGGCTCCAGATCTTTCAATTGTATGTCTGTGTCTGCCCAAAGCCTAAATGAAATGAGAAAACCAAAAGATTCAGATTCAGTTACTAAGAGAAACTGAAATCTCTCAATAGATGCATCAATGGTAGAAATTAGTAGTGGTTCCTATGGAATAATTTAAACTGCTCTTGGTTGATACAGAATTGTTTTATGAGTTTGCAACTCTCATAAAAATAATAAAAACTAGAGTCAGAAAGTCCTAGTAAGAGATCCAGGCAATTGGTCAAGGCCACCATTTTGATGAAAAGCAGACAAAGGTAGTTAACTGGGAGAGAGAAGGCTAAAGACAGAGAGAAAGATATACAAAAGAAGTGGGTCATGTGGAGGAAGAAAAGAAGGCATTTCAGGAGTTGTCCCACTAGTTAATTACTTCCAAGGTGTTACTAAAGTATTAAGCATCAGGCAGTAACAACACAAGCATAAATTGCTTTGGAAGCTGCCCGTGTTAGCATGTGCTTCTCCTTATCAGAGATTTACTCTATTGACTATTGAGAATATTTTCAGGGGAAGAATACTGTTAGCATGAAAAGAAATGGACTTGGTCTATGTGGTGCTATAAAATATTAGGAAGACAGATAAACAAAGTGATAATTCCCAAAATGTAATCTACATTTACAGAAGATTTTAAAAAGAATCTGCTGTTAAAGTAGGCACAACACAGGCCCTGTAACATTACTGTTAGTATAGAGAAGATAAACTATGCCTTTGGGATACAAATACCCAGATAAAATCTCATGAAAATAAGAGTGGCATGACAGAGGCAATAAGGAAGATTATTATAATTAGGAATATTATTATTATTATCTTTATTTTATTGGATTCCTACTGTGGGCTGAAGCTTTATTTAATTTTAACATTAATGCCTGGTATCCCCTTATTTTGCACATAAAGAAACAGGTTCAACAAACCCTCAAGTTCAGAGCCACAGGGGTAGAATAGGCTCCAAACAATGGTTTTCAGACTTTTTGCTTCTGTTCTTTGACTATGTTATGGTTTAGAACAGAGATATAATCTTGTGGGTCTGTGACAGGAAAAAAAAGAGAAATCAGAGGCATACAAAAACAAAGATTTCCTCAATAACAAGTGACATGTAACTGATTAAAATTGAGCTGAGTTGTTTTGTGCTTAGAGACTTCCATGGCATAAAATTGTGCATTTTCTGTTTTAGTAAAT